TGGCAGATTGTAAAGACCAGAACTCAGGTCTTGCTCATAGCCAAGTACACTTGACCTTCAATAGCTTAATAATGGTATTTATATGCTCTTTGGTTTCATTATTAGGATGACAGGAAAGAAACAGGACTACAACTAGTAAAGTTACAACCTCACTATACAGTATGAAATATACATTTGAACATAACTTACAATTTATAATGAAAAGCCAACTATATTATATTATGGCTTTCAAAATCAGAAGAACTGGCTTTTAAAGTTTTTTCTATTATTTTATAGTATGAAGGCCAAAACCTTCTATTAGAATTAAACACACACACATATATAATTAATGTGATACATCTTGGGCACAAGCCACTCTGAAATTCCCAGAGAACCTTTAAATAAATGACAAATCTAAAACTCTAAAATTATTCACATAGTACCCCAAGGAGCAGCATGTATCAATAAACTCAGATAGGCAAACAAATTCCATCCACAACAGTGACTTTGAAAAGGCAGAAGTCTCAGTTACCGGTATTACCAAATGTAGAGCACAGTCAGTGATCACAGTGTGACACTCCACTCAGTTGTATTTACAAGGTAAAAGAGATAGAAGGCAGAATGTATCTGCCAGCCCCTCTTGGTTCCCTTCCTAATATTCTGACATTAACAGGTAAAAAATAGCAAGCTCCTTTAATACACTTTTCTGCTACAGATATGGCTCTGTTTTGATGTTCAAGAAGCACCTGTTTAAGAAAGTAAAGTCACTGATTTGAAGACCAACTTAAATTCATTTTAGTAAATAGAAACTTCTAGCTTGTATTTAAATGTTTTAACTAAAACAAAAGTATATTTTTATTCTAAAGGTCCACTGTTCCACCACTAACAAGTAACAATCATCAATTTATAATCTATGTTGAAAGTTAGAGTTAAATGATCAAATTGATTTTTATTTAAAAATTATTGGCATTAATAGTTTTATACACATGAAATAAATTCCATTTTCAGCTTGGTGTTCCATAATTTTAGATAACACCAATAATATACCCAGGTGATGCTGATGCTGACAGCACAGGATACTACTCTAAAAACCACTGATCTAGCTTTTGAGGACTTCCAATGTTTTTTAAGGACACAGCTTATCTGCATTTGGAAATTCTCATATAGAACATCAAATGTAGAACCGGAAACTTCCATTTCTTAATTTTTCCATCTAGAACAACACAGAACAATTCTATTCCTTCCTACACATGGCAGTCACCCAAATATTTGAAAACAAAACAAAACACTCCCTCTCTTTAGATATATCTTCTCCAAAATGAGTATTACCAATTTCTTTGATTGCATCCCACTCTCCTAGCACTCAGGCCTTTCATCATTCCAGATGCCTCCCTATGAACACTATAGTTCATCATGTCCCTCTTAATATGTGGCCCTTAGAATTTAACACAATAATATTAAAGCTTTAGCCCGAATGTCAGAGTGCATGCCTGCCAATCAGTAATAGTTCCCTAACCACATTACATCTTTCAGCAACCATACCATAGTACTTCCCAACTGACCCAGAGTAAATGAGAACAGAAGAGTGTAGTAACTTTTCCATCAACTTAAAGTTGTTCAAGCTAAATAACTCTTTTGTTCTCAGTTTATGTCCTTCCTAAATATTGGGGATTGGGGCTACAGGGCTAAATATTAAGGGACAGTGATGGAAGATGGTAGTTATTTTTCCAAAGTCTTTACATGGCAAAAGAGAGTCTCGCATTTCACAGATTCTATTAAATCACTGGTTTATGTCCAAGAATACTCAAGGACAAAGGTTAATCTCATCCATCCTCTAGTACTGTGTAGGTAGCCAAGTGCTTAGAATAATTTCTATAATTTGAAACAACTAATCACAATTTCATCACTCCTTTGATTAATTTATAGCAGCAAAGCAAACCTCCCAGTGGGATTCAGCAAATAAAAGGGCTTCAAAGTGCTTTAAACACTAGTTCCTAAGACTTCCTATTTTTCTTTACCCACTTCCCATTTCCCTTTATGATTTTAAATAACATTCAAACACAGCCAAGTAGACTACATCAAATTAAGAGAGGGTTAGAAAAGTAGAAACTTACAATCATTTGTTGCAGTTTAAATTGCTAGACAATAATTTGAACTATAAGTAAACTATACCATCTAGGACAGGGGACAGTAAACCATGGCCCATGGACCATATCCGGCTGTCTTTTTGTGTAAACAGAGTTTGACGGTTCAGTCAAACAACAGCCACACCCATCTGTGTACCCATTGCCTGTGGCTGCTTCTGTGTTACAATGGCAAAGGTGAATAGTTGAAACAGAGACCATATGGCCTAAAAAACCCAAAATATTTAGTATCTGGTCTTTCACAAAAAACACTGGCCAACCTCTTATCTAGAGCAATGAACTACTGACTACTAAAGAAAACTTTGTGACCTGCAACAATAATCAGTGACTAACTCAGGACCGACCACCCATACTGGAATATCTAAATATGAATATTGGAATATCTGAATAGTCCTTTATCCTACTCTGTATGAAGATTTGTTGCCCACCCAAGACAAAGCATTCACTTACCTGCTCACTGAGCTAATCTTTAACATACATGTGTCAAGGACTCACTAGTAGAATAGTGAAGAATCCATGAACATACTGCTCTGTGCAATCTACGGTTAAAAAAAAAGTTGCTGCAAGTAACTCGAATGCATGTAATAAAGAAGAAACTGTACAGAACCACAGGATAATTTCCTTTACATTTTAGATTTCAAATACAAAACACTTTTAAGGCACTGAAAAGTAGAAAAGCTTAAGTTCAACAATTTAGGTAATATTAACTGCATTAAATAATGCAAATTAATTTCCCTTTTGTGTTAAAAAAAGACTTTCATTTTTATATTTGTAGAGTTGAAATCAAGATAAAACATCAAATCTAATTTCATCATGTAGTTTTTTAACATTATAGAATGTGCTTAAAAGATCACCCCACATTTTACAGATGACAATGTCTCAATAAAACATGAAGTATTTATGTAAGAGAACTAATTATTGGCACAGATAGAACTAGAACTCAGTACTCAACTCTCACTTTGGAACTCTTTCTACTTCATGATTGCGTATGAAAGACATGCTCATATTCTAGAAAAGGGTGGACTGATGTTGAAATAGTCTAGAGTTTTAAGTGTACAGTAAACATATTCACAGGGGCATATAGCCCACTCAGCCTAAGCAACCCTCTTGTGTTTTTTACTAATCAATCAACTACAAAATCACAGAAGGAAAAAAACTGATTGATGGTAAAGCCACTTATCAGAATGATGAAAAAGAACCGCCAATTATATCCTTAACAAATGGTCAAAAATTTAAAAAAATAATAATCAACAGTGGAGAAGGGGCAGTATGATGGATACTCACGTATTGCCAATTTGGTACAAACCTTCTGAAGGGTAATTTGGCCATATTTTAAAGTGCCTAAAAAGTTCTCACCATCGAAACCAATTATCCCATTCCCAGGAATATAACCTAAAGAACTAATCTATTATAGAGTTCAAATTTTACAATTTTATGAAGATGTCCATCCCACTATTATTTATAATTGTGAAATATTAGAAACAATCTAATATCCAAAGAAAGAACTGGTTCAGTCATGGTGTATGTATTCATACAATAAAATATTAGGCAACCATTTTTTTTTAAATCACATTTTTAAAGACATGGGAAGTACTTAGGAAGTTATAAAAAGTAGGGTGTACAACTATATGGTCAGTATAATCTCAATTTGTTATTATGCACACACACAAACACATATACACACTCATACATATAAATAGCATAGACAAAGACTGAGAGGAAATACAAAAAATATTAACAGTGTTATCTCTGGATAGTGAAATTGCAGATTTTTTTCTCTTCTTTATCCTTTTCAGTATTTTCTAAATTTTCTATTATAATCATGTATCAGTTTTATACTCAGAAAATAATAAAAATTCACTGTAGTCAATTTTGAAATTTTTATAGTCTATATAATAAATAAGGAATAAATATTTATAGTACTCAAAAGTATACCTAAGTGATGGGAAATAAATCATTAATATGTAAGAGTATAATTTCTACACATGTATAAGTGGATAATTTTGAATCCAAAAGATAACATTATTTTTTATTTTTTCTCAATTCTTGAGTATAGAAAGTTGATATTTAGTAAACAAGAAATGCAAATCTTTAAATAAAATTGGTGCAAGGCATCTAAAAATTGTGCTATTCCGGCATCACACTGAAGATACAAATGCTCTCCAATGTAACGTAGATATCCAATGTTAGACTGAAATAGATATAACCTACTACATGCATGGTGGCCAATAATTACCTAATCAGATTATATATATATTTTCCCCCCAAAGTGACTAGAAATGATCTATGCTAAAAAAAGAAATACAACACCATACCATTATTTTAGTTGGAAGAGCCGCACCAAAAATCATGACAAAAACTTTGTAGAACTGTAAGAAAATCCAGTGGTTTTTTGTTTTGTTTTGGTTACTGTTAATGACTTCTTGCTAAAAATTTAAGTAAGAGAGTCAAATTGTTTAAAGCACTAAAAAAGCACAGCAGTAGTATACAGTCTGCAATGATTTGAAAATCACTAAGAACACTCTTCAATATTTCCTCATTTGCAGACTACTGCCTATCAAACACGATCTTTGAAGGAAAGGACTATATCTGTTCTTTTACCAATCTTGAATTTATATTCTATTATAATATAGTAATGACACAAAGTGATGTCACACACAAAAAGCCAAACTGTATGTAATTTTAAAAGCTAACTTCAAAATATGATTCTAATGTCTGTGATAAAAAAATCACATAAATATGTAAAATATAAAATACATCCTAACATAGTTTTTACATGAGCTGAAGTTTACCACTTTTAACATAAAAATTCTGAGATGGAATTAATAAAAAAACAATTTTCTAGGTACCACAGAGCAATAAGTTTAAATCAGACTATTTTGAGTTGTGTAGCCCTTTATTAGCAACTAAAATAGAAGGTATCTGTTGTACAACACGGGTAGTAATTGACTATAACTGGAGATTTATTATATTCTAATACAGATCATTTATAAATGCAATTTCTTTATTAAAAAGCTTCCACCCTTTTTTTGTTTGTTTGTGTACAATTTGCAAAACTATTCTGAAAGCGGAATATATGTGCACAAGTCTGCAAAGAGTGCAAATTTAGGATATGGTAAATGCTTTACAAGTTACTTTCAAAAAACTGTCTGCCACAACTGGGCCTTTACATTGCCGTCTTTTTTGATCAAAATATTTTGATGCCAGCCTTCCTTCCACTGCCCTAAACTATAAAGCATTTTTTAATGAGTTGAAATTAAGGAAGGACTACACCTACTAGAAAAGAAGAGAAGAAAGTTCTATTAGTTTGAGGTTTCAGAATCCCCCCAAACCAGGACCAGTATCTTGGTAAGGGCTAGGCGGGGACCCCAGACAGAGAATGAGTATGTGCAGGTGGCATCCCTGAGGATTCAGAGCTTCAGTGGACCGTGAGTGCTCCCGCTGCATAACTCACTGAGCTGTCTTGCCAGTTTCTACACTGGCTTGACTGGGCATAATTCAAAAAGGAAAAGCTCATATTCATTCCATTCTTCTGGAGCTCTGTGATAGCCTAGGGGGGGAAAAAAAAACTGGTTACGATAGACCTCATATAAAAAGTAAATACCTCTGTGTTGGTGTCTTAACTTTGTCCACTTCACAGCTGAAGCCTAGATTTTTTACTCTTCTCTTGATTTGTTTCTTGAGCTTCTTTTTACACATTATTAAACAGGAAAAAGGAGTTCCTTACTTTATTCTCTCAAAGAATTTCCCCTAATCTGACTTCTTGATAAGTATCAGTTATCTCCCACCCTACCCTTGTTATACTTAACAAAGCCACTTCAAGAAACATGGACCTTTCTCTCTTTTCTCTAAACCAAATCATAGCCACTTCTGTCATGAAATCCTGGTCTCTTCTTTGTCTAACTTTGACTAAATATGAAATATATATAAATTAATTTCCAGATCTAAGGGGTAAACCACAATTTTTACTTTATTTGTAGATTGGTTCATCATTTATTTTATTAAAATTTTATTTGATCCAATCTAAATTTCTAATTTAGGAAATTAGTGTAGCTTACCTAGTTTAAATTTTAAGAATTAGTTTCAGCCCTGAACAGGCTTTACTTCCAGTCAATACTGCTTAAAAGAAATCATTCCTAAAAATCCACAATGTACTATCTTTCAAATTATACTGAACTAACACTGTAGGGTAGGTTCCTACCCTGCACTATTCTAGACTATCATTACCTTCTCCATTATTTCTCTGCCTCCCCAAACAATGAAGGCATTATTACTTCCTCCTCCCATTCCTGAATATACACACACTTTCTTCTCTATTAAAAAGTCTCACATTTTCTTTTAGGAAAGCCATACTGTTTTGTTTATTACAGGAAAAATGAATATTATCTCTTTCAAAAATCCAGCTACCCAAAACTTCTGCCTCTTACTATCATTTACATGAAATACTGTTTTTGTTGTAAAGAGAAAAATATAATACACGATCTGTCTCATGTTACTAAATTATGAATATCTGAAGTTCAAGAACAGAATTTTCCGTTTATTTTTAATAAAGTCGAGAACATTAAATAAAACCAAAAAATTAATAAGGTTACTTATTACCAAGGGTGGGTTTGATTTATATTTGTAAAGAACATATTGGAACTGGCTGTGAGTCAAGAGAAAAAGTAGGTTTCTATTCTAAATAATTTTTCTGTATTTAAAAGAAAGTACCGACCTATCTCCCAGTAACAAATAACTTTATTCCTGTGAGCAAAATAACAGAAAGCTAAATTATCTTAAAGATACTAGGAAAAAAAAGTTACCTAAAAGCAATGTTCATTATAAGGTATCACAGATGATAACAATTAAGACATTTTGCAACATCACAGGATCAAATGCTAGAAATCAAGATTTCCTAAGGATACTCACATTTAATAACACCCCAATGGGATGTCTTCCACATATAGTATTATGGTATTTCTTCAAGTAATTGCTAAAAGATACAGGGTCTAGTTGTTCTATAATACTCATACCCTAAAAAAAGAAGAGAAAAAGAAAATGAAAGAAAAAGTACACAATTTATTATTTCCTAATTACATTTTAAAACTGTTACTTAGAGCTAAACATAATTTTTCCATTAAAATAAGTAAAAGTAAAGAAGTAAAGAAAATACATTAAATAATCTTTGTGAAATATCAAACTCATTCATCAAAAGTAATCTCATTATGCTTAGCTCTCAACAATACGTACACTTGATTAACAGAAAACTTTCAACCCTGTTTAGTTTTTTCTGACCTCCTGCTATGTTTCTACACCACCATCACCAATTACCACTTAGCTCACAACCCTTAACATTTCACAATTTTACATTTTTCTTCTATAAATGTATTTACAAAAGTAAATCTATTGCAAAAATTAACTTTGCTATATGGCAGGGTTTTTTTCTCATAACCATCATATTCCTCCTACCACTGGCATAAATAGTTAAGAGTTTACTGCAACTGAGCTAATTCCATAACATACACTTAAATAACAGTGTGCAAGGCATTCTGAATTATCAGTACATGATAAAAAGAAGATACCACTAAGAAAAATGTTAACATAGTTTTAATTAACTTAAAGCTCATAAAAGATAAATGCTTAAGCAAAATAGGCCTTTTATGAACTTTTTAAAATAAAGTATTGGCCTGTCTCCCAGTAACAAATAGCTTTATTCATGTAAGCAAAATAATGGAAAGCCAAATTATCTTAAAAGCTTTTTATCTCTTGGGGTGCTTGGGTGGCTCAGTCAGCTGAGCGTCTCTTAGTTTTGGCTCAGGTCATGATCTCAGAGTCCCGGAAATGGGCCTGGCCATGGGCTCTGCACTCAGCAGGAAGTCTGCTTGAGATCCTCTTCCTCTGTCCCTTTCCCGCCCTCCCTTCCCGCTCATGCTCTCTCTCAAATAAGTAAAGAAATCTTTAAAAAAAAAAAAAGAAGAAGAAGAAAGAAAGAAACCTTTTTATCTCTTTATACTTTCAATTGGAATGCTTTAAGATTTTAATTCAGGATCAAAAAATTTTAGGACTACTATTAAAACAACCACTATGACTTGGATATTTATTCATACTAAATTCCATACCCTGCAAATGCATTCAAATAATGTGTTCATAATACAGTAATATAGAGCAATTTTAATCAAGCAGATAAATCAATGATTCTCACTCTTTCATTCACCAATTATCTTACCTTGTTTCTTATTCAGGTAAAATGTTTTACATTTGTGTTCTATAAACCAGATTAACATATTCTGAGAGAAATGTAAATGGTGGTTTAACTAGGGAATCAACTGATAAATTTTGTGTGGTTTTTAAATTATATTTCAATATGTTTTAAAACAACCGCAGTGGAAAAGCATCTAGAGTAATCAGATGAACACTCATCTGAAAAATGATAGTAATCAGTAGGTGATATAAAAATACTGCAGTGGTGGCATCAAAATTTAATTTTATAAAGAACCTGTTTTCAGAGCATTCAAGTCATTCATAAACATCATCATACTTTCCTGCAAACAGGAAAAGACAGGTCTGTGCATGTAATCAACTTTCAATTGACTGCACATCAATTAGCCACTCTAGACTTGTCCACAATCAGTGTTTAATGCTAAGCTGTTTCCCTCTGCAAACTAGGAGACTTCCAAGTCAACAGTCTCCAGTGACATTTGGTGCAAATTCAGAGAAATATGAACAAACTTAAAAATTAAACCTAAGATAAATAATTAGTACCATAATTCTGGTTCAAAGAATATCACAAAATATATTTCTAAACCAAGCAGTAAGGCAGAGATGGAGTTACACAAATCTCTTCCACACATATGGATAATCAAGATATAACTCCCTAAAAATGAAGGAACTAAGGCATAAATAAGGTTAAAAGCTTGCCTCTGAATTTCTAATCTGAGGTTCTTTCTCACTCACTAGTCTGCTTCATGCAGCATAAGAGACATACTAACAATTCTTTAAATACTCTCACAGCTATAATTGGTGCACACATTTTAAGAGAACTTTTAATGTTCTTGGATGAAGTCTAGGACAGCTTACCTTAAATAGAACTCTACTCATTAATATATTATGTGACACTGAGGTTCTGAGGTACGTGTTAATGTTAAAATCTTAAAGTACATTTTGAACAAACTTACCACATTCATATGCTGACATGAAGAATTCAAAGACAGGAAAACTAATGATCAAATTTGTTAAAAACAAAGAATTCAAGAAATTTCATATAGAAAGATATAAAATAAAGTTATGAATGTAGAGAAGACACTACTAAATAAAGTGTTTGAAATTAAGATATAATGGTTAAATGACAATGGGGGAAAGAAAAAATTGAGATGATGGAAATTAAGGGATAAAATTTAAATATTTAATCGCCTAAAGTGTATTATGTACCTACTAGGGCAAGAATCAATTCCACTACAATCATTCTCTGACAAATAAAGATAATGAACAAGTATGCAGTTTTATAAAGAAGGGATATAGAGAAAAAAAAGGCTTTTCTCAAGAGTGAAATTCTCCAATTGGAAAATTCACAAAGTATGCAAACAATAGCAATAATCATAATGAGAGACAGGGCATCTATTAAGTAATACAGAACACTAGCAAATATACTTTTGTATATATTTATATCTTAATATTAACAACTTTTAAATCATAGTTACCAAAATTTCAAGAAGATGAAAATGTTAATTTGATACTACTGCCAACAGCCAAAATTCCAAGATGAAGAAACAAAGTACTTCCCCACTAAGCTTAGTTAACTCTTCTATTACTTAAAATACTTGATCAATGAATCTGAAGTCCAGGTGGTGAAAATCTTACCTACGGCCTAGCATATTGAGAATCTGTTCACATGAATTTAAATCCAATATGAAGCAGTGAAGATCTAAGATAAAAAGCAGATATCATAAACACCAAAAGCCAATATCCATCATGATTTGGGTTTCTGAGAAATTTAGGGGCTTCAGCAAGAAATCCTCAGATTGAAAGCTAATTCCGTACTGTGAGGGGGAACAAGAGCAGAGGGAATCCATCATTATGCTGACTCTCTAAGCAACGAGTGAAAGCTTGTAATGTTAAATTCCAAGGGACAATTCTAAACTGAACAATTTTAACTGATAGAGCTGCAAATTCAGGACTCTGATAAGACAACAAAGATCTTCCCTTTTAAAAAAGTATATATATAGGGACACCTGGGTGACTCAGTTGGTGAAGCATCTGCCTTCAGCTCAGGTTATGATCTTAGGATCCTGGAATCAAGCCTGATTTGGGGCTTCCTGTTCAGCAGGGAGTCTGTTTCTCCCTCTCACTTCCCCTCTATGCTCTCTCTTTCTCTCAAATAAATAAATAAAATCTTCTAAAAAATTTTTAAAAGTTCGTACATTATAAAATATTTAATTTAAATTTAATTTTAAATACTATCACCAGAAGCAATCTCCATCTATAGTAACAAACACAAAAAAGAAACAAAACTATTTTAGAGGACTTTAAGAAATTAGAACTAGAACCATAGGTCTTTTTTTTATGAACACTTAATTAATCACCATATTATCTTGTGAGTAGGCCTCATTTTTTAAAGTAAGGATATATATTTATGTTGGAGAGATGGATGTACATTTAGGTGAACAAGGTGGGAAAAGGAAATACTCTGCTTTCGGTAAGAGGCATCAAGAGAAAATCTTACAGTCAAAGAAATTTTATGGGAAAAAAAAAATCACCCTAAAGATAGCAGTGCTAAGAAGCAATATACTAATAAGTAGCTATCTTAAAAGATGATATTATAAAACCTTATACCAAAGACTACTAAAGAAACTATTGACTTGAGTTCAAGAAAGAAGTATAAGTACACAAATCTGAACAATTTCACTTTCAAAAGAGTTGAAAGAAAAAACGGTAGCTGAAGTTCAAATTAAATGAAGTGACTACTAATAAATTTGGAAGGAAAACATATTGTAAGGCTAACTACAATGACATTTTCAGACTCTCTTTGCCAAATCATAAATAATTTGGCAATGTCCATAATGAAATATTGGTCTATATCAAAAGTGGCCCGGGAAAAAAAAAAAAACATGATTATGTGATATATATATAAAACATATATGTATGTACTTATGTACGGTTAATGTTTCCAGTATGTAATATCAAAAGTTCACAAAAATGAATGTCTTAAAATATGTTCTGCTTTGTAATTACTGAAATTACAAAGTTCTAATTACCAAAAACATGATCAGCAGCCAATACTAATATAACACTTTTAGAATCTCCTGTAACTAGTTACTTTTTTCCCCACTTACAACATTTGGAAGATCCAGTTTATTTTCCTATATATTTTTCTTTACATATTTTTTTCACATAACTCGATTCCAAGATCGTCAAATGCTAGAGACATAATTATTTTATAATAAGAGGAACAGCTATTTTTATTTTGCTTTGGAACCTAGAAACACTTTTACTTATTTTAGTAACTCTATTTAATAAGACTTTTCTGATAACAAAAAAAGAGCTAAAACTAATTAACATACTAATTTTGAAAAGACTATACCTAAGATTTTATACCTAAATAATTTTTCATCCTATCAAACTTTCAAAATGTGTAATGATTACAATTCAGAACTGATAACATGTTTTAATACTTTATACAGAGAACACTTCCAATTATATTTGCTCTGAAAAGATTGCATATAGAAACTAAGATACTGGTTCTCGAATGAAATTATTTATAACATAAAATGGCACTTTAGAAAAGGAATATACAGAGGGGTAGTCACCATTTGTTTATACTAATCAATTAAGAAAACACGTTATATAAGAGCTTAATAGTGAGTGTACATATATATATAAAAACACACATATATATAAACATACATACATGACTATATGTATAGACCTATCCACTCTTATTATTTTAATCCACTTTAACCCCCAGAAGTGACTTACAACTTGAATTAACAACATGCTAATAAAAGAACAGAATACTTACGAACCATTTGAAAATTCTA